GCAGGGAGGGAGGGAGGGAAATATAATTCTTTTCTAGATATGTTAAAAGAAAAAGAATCATGAAGTTCCTTCAATATTAATTGAATGCATGTATTGTAAATGGTGGTGATGATGATGATGCCAATAGCTGGCAAACTTGCATCGGAGGGAATTGTCTATCCGATCTATTTTTACTCACTTTCAAAGTTATATACAACATGATTAGACTATCAATTATAACTTTTCTAACTATTTTTCCAAGTCAAAAAATATTGATATTTATATATATATTGAACAAAGGATTCCAACATCCAATCGAAACTGGGTTGCCAAAGTATCTTAGCAATCATATATACAAAGAATATTGATAAATACACACAACACGCGCACACGCACAGAGAGATTTTTAGATTGATATATTTCTATGTGTTGATGAAGCATTGGTTCCTTTTTTATTTATAATAAAAATTACCCAATGAAACGCTGAAGTGGTAAAGTGCCTTCAGGGATTAAAAAATTAGTATAGTTTTAGGATCTCTTATCTATTATTGAAAAGTGTGGGAAAGGACAGGCAGGAATTTTAAACCATTTCCGCCTTGCAGTCAAAGAGTGTATGGAGCTCGTAGGAATGATAACTCATGCAGCAAAATTTGAACCCTGACACTTACAAATTACAAGAAAATAATAAATTTGCTTATAAAGAATCCAAATATAAATTCCCGAAGAAATTGATATGCTAATAATCAGTATAATTTTGAAGCATCGATCTACAAGCATCAGCAGTTATATATATCCCCGTTGTTCTCAACAAACATTAACCTGCCAATCAACTATATATTTTAAAAGAGCTAGCGACCTTGCCTACATTATAAACAAAACTATAAGAAACAAGGCTTTATGATGATTATAAAATTAATGTGCAAATTTTTCTGAAAGCTTTTAGAATTCAAGTTTGCCCCGGAAGTATTAAGATGAAACAACTTGCCCCATCTTTTTTTTTCTTTAAAAGAGTAACATTTGTGGTTGACGGTTAATGTTTTTAACAGTAAGGGGTAATGTTACTCTATTTTAATTTTTTTTGGGGCAACATTACTCATGAGTAAAGACTTCCAGACCAAATTTGTACTCTAATCTATAATTATGAAATTAGAAAGAAATTAACTGTGTGAGGAAATTTCATTCCATGTGAAATAGGATTAACACGGCTAAATAAACTCAGATCAGTCCGATTAATTAATCAGTAGTCAGGTAAAACGAAAATTGGAGAGCAGTATTTTATATGAGAGTGTAAAAAGCAGTGGAGGAGGAAAGAGTAGTGTGTTTGAAAATAGAAAATCACATGGGCGTTTGTGGGGTGTGTGTGTGAGAGAGAGAGGGATTTTTTTTTTGGGGGGCGGGGGTTTTGAATTTGAAAACCCTAAAAGTGGGTAGTGCACAGCACACCTTTCTGACAATTTGTATATCTGAAGCACTCCGTCCCTCTCTCCCATGAGCCCTCGACCAGCCATGCAATTGAATTGAATTCCATTCATTCCAACACGCACACGCACACACACGCATATTGTTCTCTTTTCCTTCTCGGTTTCCACAACAAACACTCTCACGTTCATGCACTGACAGAACCACTCATTATAACACATGCTCATGCATCTCTCTCTCCTCGCGTTATATGTCCTGTTTTGCGAGCACAAGATTAACCCTAATAACCCACTCTATATGGTATTCATCTTTGTTTTTTTTGTTTTTCGGGTTTAAGTTTCTATGCGCCGTGTGATATTCTCACGGCTAAACCAACTCACGATAATGGCGAAGGATGATGGTATTCATGATGCCATGATGACGAGATTAAAGCTAATAAACTTTCTTTCTTTTTTAAACTATAATATTCTTATTTATGTATCAGAAAGAGAGAGGGGGAGAGAGAGTCGTGGATATTCTCTCTTCAATTGTCCACTCATGTACTTGGTGGGAAAAAGACACCATAGCGTTAGCGCTAACCCACTTTCTATAATGGCAACATGTAAATTGCCTAAAGTTATCATTTTTTGGTCCCCTTTCTCTTCCTCTCTCTCTCTCTCTCTCTGATGGATAACTCATGCCACCATCCCATGCATGATCATTACGTGTACACAACACAACATATTCCCTGCTCTAAAACCCAATGCTATTTTTCTCTTCTTTCATTCTTTTCCTTTTACTCATCTTTCAACACTTTCTTCTTCCCACACACACACACACACACACACACATATATATATATATATATTTGTGCTCTAGCTACCTCTAGCTTCTACTTTTCTTTTCTTTCTGAGACTCCCCTTTACATATTATTACTCACTTTTGTACACTTTTTATTACACGCTGGAAATGCATCATATGCATGCTAATTGATTGATTAACTAGTAATTAAGTGTCGTTGATATGTACGTATACATGCGAGTAGGCAGGCAGGTCCAGGCTCTATACATGTCCAATATGTCGTCTCTAATCAGAGAAGAGACATGGACGGAGAACTCATTATGACAAAAGAAAACACGAAACAAGACAAACTTTAAATCTTGACTAGTTTTGAGAGCCAAAATTTTACCTATAAACCTGTGATTGGTCAATAGATCCTTAAAGAAAATAAAAGAATTAGCTAGATCAGCGTGTGAACCTAGTTTTGTCGATACTTGAAATGATATAATAAGATGTATGATGATAATTAGAGGGAAGAATTTAGTTGGTGTCGTTTGGTGTAGGGCCCCTGGAGGAGTGGAATTGGAATTTGGGTTAGAAAGTTATCGCCATCAGCATCATCAGCGTCCCTTTGATTCCAAGCTTAAGTCATTCCATGCTCATGCACTGTCATCACGCTCTCCCTCTGCACTTTCCTTTCTCCATAAGTATTTCACACTTTAATTTATTTTCTCCATTTGGCAACCATTTCCTCATTCATACAAAATATTGTGATCCAAGTTAATTTCTCCCCTGCATCTCCTGATGTGTATGAACACCAATATTCAAGTCTTGTGACTTGGATATTTACCACCCGTAGAAATTAAAACAACAATCTTGAGATCAAATGAAAATTATTGATCTTGTCTCATCATCGTACGTACTTGCACATATATAGCTTTTTCTTCATGAGAATCGGTTATTAATTGATATTACCCCCCCCCCCACACACACACACATTCAAGCTCCATCCGAGATAAATACATCAATAAAAATAGAGCCAACTCTTCAAGTATAATTTTGTTTTCCTTTATTTTTGTTCATGTACATAAAATCAAACTCAAGCTAACTAAAGAATAACAAATCTCTCACATTTATTTTGGTAACATATATGACCTGGCATATGGTACATTGGACTTCAATTAATTCAATTGCAGCAGTATGGTCCTAAAGACATTTATTGAATTCAAATATATAAGCTTGAACCAGGTCATCATGTCAAAAAAGAAAAAACTATAGTTGCTTATAAAGACCAAAATCTGGAGGCTAACTCCTCACATTTAACTCATCCATAACTGGTATATCTGTGTTAATTAGCCAAAGAAATGGATAAAATTTGAATAATATCTGGTTTAGTTGCTTTAGAGAGAGAGAGAAAGGAGGAGATAGAGAAACCATGTTTGATGGGCTGGAAAGAGAAAAGCAGCTTTTCAGATCAATAGCTCCTCTAGTTCATGCTTTGTTCAAAAATTTATACTTCATTGAAGTTCGATAATCGGTTGAAAATATATTAGAGCGCCCTGTCTCGGACAAATATATTAAAGAAGAGAGGTGCCGTACAAAAGTTACAGAAGGGCCACAGAGAGAGAGAGGGTGGGAGGCACATGGCTTTAGGAATAGGGATGTCTTAAAATAAAGCCCACGTCGTTGTGTTTCGATTCTCGGGTTGTGGGGAAACACCATCATCATCATGCATGTCCAAACTCCTATTCATTTGTTTATAATTGCCTCTTAATTAATGAATCACTTCTATCATCTTCTCTGTATTATTATTAATTAATTTATTATCTCATGCCATCCTTGCCAGGTAAGCTCATCATGCTCTCCCACTTCAACTTACATTACATATATTCTTCTCTCTTTCCCACATATACCAACAAATCAACCAAAAAACTGCCCTTTGTTTTTATCTCTCCACTCTCCATTATTTAATCTTTTCCGCTTTTAAAGGATGGGCAACCTCTCAGGCTAAACTATATATTTAATAAATCACAAATGTTTGGCATACCCACATGTTCGTTAATTCATATATATGCATTGGAAAAAAAACTTTTTTAATTTTACAAAAATTAAGCCACTTAAAAAAACTAGTTTTTTTCCAGCAACCTTGAAAAGCGACTGAAATGATTGTTAAACCTTCTATACATAATTCCGAAGCGTATAATATATGTACAGTATGATTTCACGGAAATACGTCTAAAAATTTGCAGATTTTCAGAAAGTAAATTATCCAAGAATAGCACTTGCGTTTATGGCAGCTAATTAGCCAGCAAGATCAGATGTTTGGAATTAGTTGTTGATGTTAATTAGGGTAACCGACCAGAACCTATTAGGGTTAAAAAGGAACTTTTTGTGATATAACAAAAAGAAAGACCTCCTTTGCAGTCAAATTTTCCTCGGAACATGGCCCGAACATGGTGTCTTCCATGCCTTTCCTTTCTCCTCGTTGATTCTAAATATTTTGCAATCTTTTTATGACATATAAAATTAAGTTGCTTCTGATTTTGATCTAAATCTAAAATAATTTTTTATGTATCATTTATTTATAGGATGATTTTCTTACAAATTTATCATTGATATAAATTCGATAGATGCGTTTGCAAAATAAACTCCTAACGACTTTTTAATATGCCCAGGGAAAATGTTAAAATTGTAGTTTATAAAATGAGATTAAGTGACGTAAGCGTATAATATTTTACATTGTTCTGGATGCATACTAATTAATCCCCATATATTTATGTGTGTGTGTGTGTGAAGAAAAAGAACATCGTCTTTGTTTCTGTCTCTCTCCCTCTGTGTCTGCGCAAAGACATCTCTCACTCTCTCTCTCCCCCCCGCACAAGCTTCCAAAGAAAGAGAATGAATGGAAAGTGAGATTTACAAGAATTGTTGGACTTCTGGTGGGTTGATATTTAGAGAAGGATAGAGCTAATGAGAAAAACCCTTATCCGTTGGATGGCTTCGGTTGATGGGAAAGTAGTCTACAATTATTCGCATGGCAGATCCGTCGTCCCAATATAAAACCATCTCGACTCCGATACACATGTCCATGGGTTGCGTTGAGATAGAGGTCAGGTACAACAAGCTCAGCCATAGTGGCTCGCCGGAGAAGTCATCGGAGGGTTATGCTAAAGCAATATGACCATGCTTCCTGCAACTCATCACGACCTATCAAAACAAGATCAGCAACAACAGACTTATGGTGGATTTGGCGGTGGAGCTACTGGTATGAGCAGACTTGAAGTTGAAGGGTATTATTATAATCAGAATATTTGCAGGGAATCTGAGTTATTAGGATCGGACATGGGTGAGGATGATCAATCCAGAAGTAACAGTGCGAGTGTAGGTGGGTGTGGTGGTTCGAAGGGGAATCATCAGATTAATCAGCAAGAGCAAGAGAAAGATGGAGGATGGCTTCAATTAAGCATAGGGTGTCAAAGAGAAGCTGACGAATTAGGTGGTTCATCTTCGCCGGTGGAGCTTGACCTTCTTCCCCATTCGAATTCCGGGCCGTGCAGGCCGCTCCTGCCGCCACCGGCACCACCTCAGCTCGGTGGTCCTGTTGCCCCGCTTTTGAATTTTAGCTACCCACAACAACCACCGCCACATCCTTCTCCGCCTCCTCCTCCTCCCCCTCCACCCTCTAATCTGCTTTTTCAACAGCTTCAATATCCTCACAGTGCTTCAGGCTTTGCTCCTCATCATTCACACTCAAACTGGGCATTGGCTCCTACTATCCCTTTCACTATGCCTTCCTCTTCGTCTTCTTCTTTTCCTTTGAGCTCTCATCATCTCGCTGTTTCCTATTTTCCGAGGCCCTTTCACTTTCCTCCCGGCTTTCATGATGATGCTTCAGCTGGTCCAAGCTCCGATGTAAGAGTTGTTGATCCTCCTCGCAGGCCTCATTCCGGAATTTGGTTCATGCTTCAAGCGTCCCCAAATCAGTATGCTTCTTCCTTATTATTTCTTTCCTTTCCAAACTGCCAAATCAGTATATGTTTATATATCTATATATATATTTCACTTAGTTGCTGAACTGTAATCAAGTTGTGTACCTTCAATGCAGAGCAAAAGAACCGTTCTTGCCCCAAATACCCAAGAGCTACCTCAGAATCAAGTACTTGTCTTCTTTCTTACTCTCTTCCTCTCTTCCTTCGCTACATTCTAACAATGCATATCATTTCTTCGATTTCAACTTCAAAACTTTATATGTAAATGCATTATATTGATTTTCATAATAACCCATATACTTCAGGGATGGAAGGATGACGGTTCGATTATTGTTAAAGTATTTGGTAGACAAGTTGAGGCTCCAAAGCGAATCTGAGGTACTTAAAACCCATCCCTACACCCTTCAACTCTGCAATATTTTTCTCTCAACACACACACACACACATATGCATCTAAATGCGTGTGCTTTATCATGAGAAGTCAGTACTTGAAGCCTTTACTTCTTTCTGCTGATCCCATTAATTTCCCCCTAAACTTGCATCCCAAAAAAAAACGAAAACAACAACAAAAGTCGACTTTTATAGGACTGCCCAAAATTGAAAATCAAATTGTTACGATTCCACTGGTTAAATTGCCGAGTTACATAATTAGCATGGGAACTAGCTAGCTAGATGATCTTGATTATATATATGATAGATACGACAGAACTAAAATAGATTTATCGGGTCACGGATATTACCCATATATTTGTTTAGGTGAGAAGTGCATTTCTTGGTGCCGATCTTCCTTTTATGTTTCCTCATAATTTACCAACTCATATTCTATATTAAGGAGGGTAAAAGAATATTTATATAGATATGCTATACATATATATATATAGAGAGAGAGAGAGAGAGAGAGTTAGAGGCTACCTTGCGAGTCTTTTGGTAACCAACGACATATCCTATATTCTAAAATCCTCCAATCTGGTTAGTTTTGTGGAGTTTGGTAAGATACTCAGCTTTGGTTCACAAGGAGAGGAATTTAACTGGGTAATTTATAAAAGAAATTAAGGACGTGCTCGCCCTCCAACTATATTTTTTCTTCTTGTCCAAAGAACCATATAAGAAATTGTGATGTTGGGGTAATGGGTTCACTGTGTGAAATAAATTAAAACACCCCCCCTTATCCTGCGTAGTTTCATCATCATATAGTCATCTTTACATCTTAGCCAGTCGACTAGTTTATGGTTTCTATACCCTACCACTGATTCATACGAAAGTAACCTTCAAGCAATCGATGCGGAGGAAATGCATGAGAATTTCCATTTAAATTTCAAAAATAAAACAAATTCTTTTCTGGAAATAGAGAGCTAAACTTAACCAATAAGTAGGGAGTTCATCTTAGTCATTGTTAGCTGCTGATCCACGATACACAAATAGATATATCAGTTGACTCCTCAGGTAATCTGGTATTTGGTTTAAGACCAAGACCATACTTAGCGTTCTTAATCACTAATATAGTGTAGATATTTCGTAGAACCAATATGCATTATGTCTGTATGTAGAATACAGTATTTGAAGAGGTTCCGTTTCTTGAACTTCATAGTGCGCGAAGAAAATATATCGTCTTAGTGGATGGAAACCCTACTAGTTAAAGTTTAGTTAAGAGCTAATGATTCACAGGGTTAAAGTTTTGTGCGAACTTCAGCTATTTATGTGGACTTTAAGATGCTTATGATCTACGCCCTTTTTTAGAACATGCACACGGGTGTAATGCATTTATTAAGTGATATAATTAAAATACGCACATTATTGTTTGTGTCCCATTACTTCACAATACTTCATGCACACTCCACCTATCACTTGTTGCCTAATAATTGCAGCAAGAGGTAGATTCCGTACAAAAACCTAGCACGCAGCTTATATCTAGGACTCCATAAATTGTGCCCTTAAGTTTAGGGACACGTACATTGCTTCAAAACCCCATATAAAGTGTAATCTCATAAACATGAAAAAGAAAATAGGCAATCATTTTTATCCTGGTGAGCACTGATTAGGATTTCTCTCCGAGAGAGCGTCCGCCCGCTTCATTTACCGTCTCTTGAGCATGAAAACACAAAGTGGGGAATATTTGCCATTTCTTGGGCACATCCATACTCCTTGTAGCACGAGGCTTAATTTATAGCAAATTATTAGAAGGTATTTTGGGGCTTTTTTTATTCCGTGGAAACAGTTGAATGTATCTAAGAATTATAAATTTAACTAAATAATTTGTATCATGATAATTGGTTCCGAAGTCGGTTTGCTGGGCTCTGACTTTGATTAAAATACTCTGCGTGTGTGTGTGTATACATATATTTCTATCATCTTTTAAAAGTCTGTACTTTGAAATGTTGAAGATATTTATGGCACCATCCTAGCCTCCTTATTATTTAATCTACTAACATTTACCGATAATATTTTAATTAAATTTCGTTCAAAACTAAAATTTCATTCTTATTCTTGATGTTTAACTTTTGTGTCGTGGTTTTTCCCCAAATGTTTTGGACAAAGTGAAAAATCTAGTTCAAATTAGACTTCTCTTTTCTCTTTTATTTTACATATATTGATATGCATACATATATATACATATATATATATATAGAGAGAGAGAAGTTTCAAGCTGCCGAGAAACAACTCCTTGAAGAATTTGCTAGCTTTGGTTTTATTCCCCGTTTTTTCGGTTAAGTTCTTCTTCATGTAGATGATCTTTGGTAGTGATTAAAGAACCGTAAATTATGAGGGAAGAATAATATAAAACAATTCGTGCGGTCAAAGTTGCACGGATGTATTGAAAAATTAAAAAAAAACAAAAGCAACTCGAATAAACGAACGAAAATATATGATATTTTCCCCACTTTCTCTCATAACGAAGTCATTAGACGTGTGTACGGTGCGCTTAGCATCCCCAGGCGTCATATTTGCCTCCCCCCCCCCCCAAAAACGAGTTTTCCTTATATCTTTTTATTTCTTGAATATTCTTATCTTTGAAGTTGGATACTTTCATTATCATGTTTGAACTATTGATTTGTTCTGCCAAATTTCCACCAATTATTCCAATTTTCTCACCATTTACGGTTAATTATTATACTTTCCTACACACACGCATGCTTGCATACATAGTAATACGATCACTAGCTAGAAGAATACATGGCCAAAAGTATTAAACAAAAGAGCAACGTGGTTTTGTTGGAAAATTCAATTATTTGATTGAATTCGATGTTGGACCATAATGTGTCTGTGTAAACAATGTCTAAAATACATATGGGACATATGTTGTATGAGACACGCTCGAACATTCCATACTGCGTCAAAACTCCATGCAACTTTCTGGGTCAACTTTCAAATTGTATCGTGATTCAGATTTCAGAAGCTGTATGGTTATAGCTTGTTTCAACTAATTTGTTTTATCACCTTCCGAAATTCATTCTTGGAAGGTGAGTAGGTGGCAATTTAATATAAGATACCATCTATCTTATATTATATAAATGGTCCTTGCTCTACATGATACAGCTAAACACATTTTTTTCTTTTGTGAAAGTAGGTTGATTTTTAGGCTTCGTTTAGGGCTCTTACACTATCAAATAACTAAACGTATTTATAAAATAGAAACTTGTGTTCTCAACCCTATGTATCTCCTTACGTGGGAGTCAACTAAAATAGTTATATATATCTAGCTAGTATGTATTTTTGTGTGTGTACGTGGACTAAATAAAATCAATATCTGAGGCATTAAATATATTTCCCATATACTTGTGAGCCTTTATCGTGTTGTCATCCTTAGACCATTGATTTAGTCATTTTGTTAGCTAGCATTAGTCATTTGGAATATAAAAGTAGTTAATCTCCCTATATATATCTCTGTGTGTGTTAATTATTCTCTCTTCTATAGGGTTATTTTTAGGCCTCATTTAGGGCTCTTACATTTTCAAATTTATTTATCGTTATAACTATGAAGACTATATCAGAAATTTATGCCCAATAAATGGTTGAGTGGTTATATATGTTTTATAATCCTTGAAGATCTAATAAGATCGTTAAGTAGCTTGAGATATATTAATTTAATTTGTTTGAGAATATATATGAACAGAGGGTCTAGGTATTAATAATGAATACAAGAAAAAGAAAGAAAGACTATGTCTTCCATGGTGGAACGTGAAAATCCACCCAACCAAAAAAACAAGGGAGCCTCCATGTTTTCTTATTGCTTTTATGGTTTATGAAGAATGCATTGACTTTAAGGTGTAAAAATACATCTTGGAACACTTGATTGGATGTACCTTTATCATGGCCTACTTTCTTAGTTGACACTCATTATATTCATACAAAAAGGTTACAAGATAAGTACGTTATTGATATTAACATTAATTGAACACAAACATCATATCGTAGGGCCTCGAAAATCACACGTGGACCCTGTCTTTCTCATAACCTATCTTCATGCCCATCATTCTCTCCCCCCCCCCCCGGGTCAAGCTTTTCCCTCATTTTTCACTCCTCTTGTAGGCCCTTCCCTTGCCCATTTCCTCTCTCTCTCTCTCTCTCTCTCTCTCTATATATATATATATATATTATATGTAATCCCCCCCGGGTCTCCCCTTTTTTTGAAATATTTAGGGCTTAGAAATTCCATCAAAGTCGCAAGTGCTACACTGGGATAGAACCAAAAGAGAAGGCCCCATGACATATGGTTAGCATCCTCAACCAACCACCGAAAAGCGATACCTATTCATGTCTAATAATGACAAAATCTTAATCTAATTCACTGTGCTATATAATTTGAGAATAATCCTATGTATTGGTTTGACGTCCAAACAAAGCAAATCATAAATAAAGCGATAAAGGAGATTTGAAAAGGATTAGATAGTTATATGCATATATATATATATATATATATATAGTTGGGGGAATGATATGCATGCACAATTAAAATTAGGAAGGGTTCCCTTTAATTAATATTTGATGGGTTTTCTTCATCTAATATTTATAGGTAAAGCGTATATAGAATTAACTTGAGGTATCGATATCTGACAAAATTCAAAAGCTATTATTTTATGTACAGTAATTTTTGTGCTGGCATGCAATAAGGGCTTTGGTGGAACAAAGTGATAGAGACGTGCATGAACAAAAAATTTTTGGTCTCACACGATTTTTCGTAAAGAATGAAAAGGAAGGGTGTGGACATATTTTTAATACATAACTACCATAACTATTATTATTATTAAATTTTGTTAATGGTGTATTAGCCTATTCTTCGCCGTGCTTTATGGATCCACCCTCAAATATATTATATAATATTAATATTATATATATGATTCGTTATTAATAAATTTTGCGGAAGGATGAGTGATGAATAACACAAAGAATAGTAAAGTCTAAGGGATGATGATTTTGGCTTAGGAGCAAAGTGTAAATAATGGGCCTCTTGTAATGATTAAAGACAGCCATTCGTCCTTGCTGCTTCATCAGAAATATTTAGGAGAATTAGAATCTGTTTGGCGATGCGTAAAGCAAATCGCTTTTTCTCTGAAGTGGAAAGAGAAAATGAGATCTTAAGGGTAAAGCAGACGTTACAAAGAATTTATATGTTTCATGGTGGGCGTAGGGCCAACACCCTGAGAAAGCATGACTTCATCCTGATCTCATTTTTTTCTCTGTTTTTTCCCCATTAATTGTATTTCATACTTTTGCATATTCATCATTACCATACAAATAACTATGAATATACCCATACAAATAACTATGAAGATAAAAAATAATTTTATTCCCAATTTTTTAAAATTAAAAATAGTAATTAAAATTAATGTTGTAATAGATACCGTACAGCTTAAAAAAAATTAAAGAATCCTTAATTTTCTATTGACGATACGTGACAAATATATTAATATCACTATCTAAAATACACATTTTAATTTTTATGTAATCATTTTACTTAAATTCAAATATATTTTCTGTGTTCTTTTTTTGAATTAAATATAACATTAGTATGATATATCACACAACTAGTATCCTTGTGTTTATAGTACCTTCAGTTTTGGTTCACTATGCATGATATTTGACTATATGTGGGAACTGATTATAAAGTATACAAAATCAGTTTTAATGATTTAGATTTAAAATCTTGAACTAGTGATTTAAATAAAAATTTTATGTTTTAAAAAAGTTATAGTCAAGATATTACATTTATTTTAGATTATGTACTTATTAAAAGAAAAACACTTTTTGAAAAACAAAAATATTAAATATTAAATTTCAGCCATTCATATTAAATTTGAATGGTTAAGATTTAATGAGTATCATGGTGTTCATCACTTTGATGAGCCCTGAAACTGGTTCCTTTATTTGAATGCAATTAATCAATTTATTAGCGAATTATATAGTTTTTAGTAATGTTAGCAAAGTAGAACCCAAAAATTATTAGTCGGTGTCAAAATCAATAGAAAATCTCTATAAATTGTCTATTTGTTTATCGGTTATCTATTGCTGGTGCCAAAAATGACAACATTTGCTGAATTAAAATCGTTTCTATATTAGTTATATAAATATTATTATGCATTGTTCTCAATTGGTTTTTATTAAATATTTAATTAAATGATTATGATATATACATATCTATGTATATATATTGACAACCATTGAATTATGAACTTGCTTGGTGATAGTGGGATTGAATCTTATAAGTATGATTTTTTTTTTTATGCTAATGAATTGACATGCAACTGATTTAATGGCAATATCTAGTAAGGTAATTGATTGGGGTGTGTGTGTGTGAATCTTATAAGCAATTTGTGATTGTGGAATGATATTATTACCTTGGTAGAAATCGAATTTAAAATTACAAATTTATATTACAATTAGTTATGTCATTTATTTTAATATATAAAAAGAAAAATTTGATTAAAAAAATACATCAAAATATTTAATAAAAACACATAAAAATACTAATTTTAATTTAATTAGGAACAGTGACACTTTAAAACAATCAACTTAATTAGATTTGTGCTTAAACCAATTTATTAATCAACGTGGTTTTATGAATATCATTTTCCAAGTACTCGGGGTGTGCATTGGCTGGGGAGGGCCCGTCCATATTAGGTTAAGTCTGAATTTTTTTTTTTTGGGCCAGAAGGTTAACTCTGACTGTTAAAATAACAGTACGTCAACTGAGAATATAAATGGCTTTAAAGTCAACGTTCAATTTGACTTTCGAGCTTATTTTCTTTGCCTTTGTTCAACGTTGTTCTCTCTGTCTTCGTCTACAACTCCTCATCTCTGTCTTCATTCTCTCACTTCCTCTTCCTCTACATCTTTGTGTTTGCATGCGTCTTTGTTATCCCTTAAGTTTTGTTGCCTGCCATTTATCCAGGTTTCAGACACAATAAAATAAAAAAACTACGAAAGGTTACAAGAATAAAAAGTAGTGGTTTCACCCAACGACGGTTATATCAATTATACATTGATACAGAAGTAGCCCTATATATTAAAACTGGGTATTCAGGTTCCATAGCTAATGAAAGGATCTTGTTACTGGTAGTTTGTAAAGCGTACCTTAACCCCAAGATCCAAACCGCAACTGTGTTCAATGGAAAAAGAAAAATAGTAGTGGTGCTGTTGTTATGCCAAGACTTTCAGAATCACATAATGAGGTGTGGGTAATTTATCTATTGTGAAATTATGGTAGTCATGTTTAGGAGAATGTGGGGGGATAATTTGAAGAAAGCTGGCATGTGTTGTCATTGTCACATATATTTGATTATATATAAAAAAGAAATGAATGCCCTTTTCTTTTTGCTTTTGCTTTTGGTTTTTGGATGATTTAAGGAATATAATGAATATATATACATATATATATATATATATATATATATATAAATTGATGCAGATAGAGATAAGATGTAGAGGGCAACAACTTGGGCCTTTGTTGACGTTGGAGCATGTAAGAGATAACATTTGGAGTCCCATGACCCCCACTTTGCTTTCAGATCCCTCAACCACTGATCATATAATGGTCCTCTACTACGGTAGATGTGCTTAATAACGCCCCTCTATCTTGTATCATTGTTAACTTATTTTTAATTTTAATTTCCTTCTTTCAAAATTTCCCAATTTTTTCTCCTCTATTGCATTTTTATTTACCTTTTCTTGTTTGATTGTTATTGGTTTTTGTCTCTCTTTAAAATAACTCATCAAACGAAGAGAAATAACAGAAATAGGATCACCCTGCAACGCAGTTGTTTTTTGGGGGTGATGCGAGAATGCCCAAGATTGTATTTCTGTGCTCAGTGTGCAAGAGTGTCATCCCTTGTATTAATTACCCACAACAAAGCTTAATCTAGTTAATAGACTAACCCATTTAATGTTTTTATTATTTTGTAAATTAGTTGAGATGTGTAGTATTAGTATTATATTACAATTTACAAGTTAAGCGTACACTTTCATTTATTGTTGGGATTATGCTCCTGGCAACAAAGAGTCAACAGCCAAATGCATCCAACGAATTACTTGTTCGGGAATAAGAAAACTTTAAGACTGATCTATAAAATCCTGCAATGGGTGGAATTATCTATGTTCTGCTGTCATAAATTGACTTTTAGCATCAGCAAACAAAATAAGCGTTTTTTTCTTCATTTTTATAGCTTTGTCACTCTTCCAAACAATAAGGTTTAGAAGACGAGTTTTTTCCCCCTGTTTTTCTTTTTGGCCACAAAAGATGAGCTAATTGAGGGACTGCGTCTGTGTGTAGTTTGAGAGATTCAATTGGTGGCTCACAAAGCACAATAATTATTGGGTCGGATAGCAGAATCTATTAATGTCTTTTAAATAAGAGAAGTCAAATGTTGTGAATACAAAATTATGTTTTTAAGAATGTCCTGGTATTTGGTGCATTGGAGACATGTTAAACCATGGGCATCTACGGTGGTGCATCTAATCCTTTCATTTCCATGTATTTTCCCTATGGTGAACTATATTATCTCCAATATCCAAAGATAAGTCAATAATCACGAGCGTCAAAAATTGAATTTTATTTTAGTTTGCACGAGCAAATTGGATTACCAAAGAAGAGAGAGATTACTCAACGACAAACCTTTTTCCCCTTTTATTTACTCCCTCCATTCCATGGTCATTGTTGTAATTGAGTTAATGACTTATTGACGCATTAAGTAAGAAATTTTTAGTTAATGTAATATATTAATGTGTTGTAAAACATGCTTATCCAATCCCCAACTACTACAGCGGTATATGTTCGTTAATTTCTACTAAAAAAAAGTCTATTTTTCTCTATTTTGGAAGCCATTTTTGTCTATTTAAAGGGGGACATGGACAAAGCAAGCATAGATAGCAATTAGATATTTACTAATAGACGAATATGTGCCTCATGTCACACCTCCTTTAATATCCCATTATACATTAATTGAAACCATTATAGCGCATTTCCTAATGTTTCTGAGAAAAAATTTCAATTTCAAAATTTTCTTTTTATTCTATCCGTATACTATTCATTTGAATTTGAGTCAATTTTAAAAATTCATCACTAATTTTAGAAAAATCAAAACAGGATGGTTCTAATTTTCGTTTGAAGCTTGTCAAAAGTTCTTTAGAGAAAAAATATTCATTGGATCAATTCCATCAAGAACAGCACTAGAAAATTCGACAAAGTGCACTGTTTATATGGTTAATTTTCAAATTTTTAATATTTTAGCCCAACTTTGGAAGGGAATAACTCTTAGCACACAACTCCAAATTTGATGGTTCACCACTTGTGTTAAATCTAAAAATGAGATCTAAAAGCCTGCAAAATCTCAGATCCAAATTTCACCATGTGCTTATTATTTTATGTGTCACGATTTTGCCCATAATTTAGGCAATTTTATCCTCAAATCACCTATTTCTTAAATTTTATTTCTGTTTTTCCTTTTCCTTATCCTTGTGACATTGCACCATTTCCATAATGCTTTTCTATCCCAATACCAATTCCTTGCCTTGATCCATGGATGGGCCACTCCTTATTTGAGACATAATTTAACATAGGAGGAATGAGATTTCATAAAAATCTCAGTAGCAATTGAACTATAATTATCATCTAAATCAAACAAGTTACAATGTGACATGTCATCACACCTCAAGGCATAATCAAACTACATAAAATCATAGTTAATACCATGTTAGGAGAGGAACACTAACACTTTCATAATAACATAATTCAGTACATTTGGCCAAAGCATAACCGAAAGCCATCCAATCTGTAACACCTCATGTTTAAATCAATTAACTTTTCTTGCGGAAGCATTTGGAATCACTTTTGAAGGCTACAATTGATGAAAAATCAAGTTTGAAAATTTTCATTTACGGGTTACTATTCATTGTCACCTTAAAATGTGACAAACTTTGAAAATTCATAACTAATTGTAGAAAAATTGAAATTGAGTGATTCCAAGTTCTACAGTAAGCTCTTTGGATAAAATTTTGAGGAAAAATAGTTTCTGAACTGATTGCCTTGAAATTCGAGCTGAATTTCCTTTGAAAAAGTTACTGTTCATTTGGTCATTTTCGGATTCTACTGTATTTTTGCCTAACTTTGGAAAGGCATAACTTTCTGCTCGGTTATCGGAATCGGGCAAACTACCCCTCATTTTAAATAGAAACATCAGATCTCTTTGCTTGCCAAATCTTATGACCTAACTAACTCGTTGATAGGTCAAACTAGAGCTACAAACTCACTGCTCCAGGACTTACGTTTTATCCCTTAACATCTCTTTAATTCTTTTTATTTCTTTGGCATACATGACATGGCCTTACTCTTTCCCGTTGATGCTCATACACTTTCATTCATGCCATAAATATTATAACCAAATACATGGCATCATTGGCATCCATAACATAATTCACAAAATAGTAGAATTACACATTTATTAACAGTCTCATCCATTAACAAGAATAATTCTCCGCTTACTTCTCCTTGCTTCTCATGCCATTATTGCCCGTCATTGATTGACCTAAATGGTTGGTTAGGGAGGGGTGAGATTCGGGAGAATCTCAGTAGCAAACACTACCCATAAGCATGCAAGACATAATGCACATGCATGACATGTTATAACATTAAGACATGAATGCCATGGAAAGTAAGCTAAAGCATTTCATGCTTCCATAACATATTGCCAAGGCAAAACATAACATAAACTTGCAAACATAACTTTGCAAACATATCATCATAGCTTAGTCACATCATGGCAACACAATCACATCATGCAAGCATACATATCAAGCACACAGTATAGGTAAGTTCACTACCTTGTAACATGGCTTTCCCCTTGCTTTTCCTTTGATTCCCTTGTCTTTCCAACCATGTGGACATTCAGTCAACATCACCAAACATCCTCTTGGATGTTCCAAAGGTCCTAAACATAGTCACATTGATCATACAATCCATTAGGACCACTAGATTACATAAAGTTCAAGACTAGCTTTCTTGAACCTCAACCCTTTCTCTTAGTCTTAGGGTTTTCTTTCCAACTTTTCTAACAAAATTCTTATCATTTCCCATCCTTAATATCCATTTCTTGTCAATTAGAACCACTTTAGATGGCCTTAGATTCAAGAATACCAAATCTGGAAAATTTGCTTCGCGGGTACTGTTCACGCAGAATTTTCAGAATTTTTGCTCAAATTTGAAAATTCATAATTAATTCTAGAAAAATCTAAATTGAGTGATTCCAAGTCTCACTGAAAGCTCCTTAAGTTCACTTTCAAGGAAAAATAGTTTCAGGAACCAATTCTATGCCGAACAGCACCGGAATTGTACGGAACTCGAAACTCTTCCAAAAGTTCAACACTGTTTCCAGATTTCAAACCCTAAATTTGAAAAATCACCATAAATCGTACACATATCCAAATGAAGTGTTCTACCTATGGCTTTAAAGCTCACAGAGTGTACTTTAAGCATGCAAAATTTCAGAATCAGATACGCACAGTAACTAATCCGAAATAGGCATAAAATCAGGTGCTATAACCACCACATACCGTGTTTTAGAGTTTGATCTGGCTTGGAACCACTTGGCCTTTCTTTCTCCCTCTTCTTTCTCTTTCTAGAAACCATTTTGCAAGAGCTTCCCCATGGATTCCTTATGCTTGGACGAAATGGTAGGGAGGGGAGGGGGTATTTATAGAAAAACAGACTGAATCTGGACCGTTGATCTTAAAAATACGTGGCTCGATCTGGACCGTCCATTTTCTCTTTTGATCTTACGGTGACAAGTGTCCTATGACATCATGCTTACCTCATCATGATGACATCATGCTTACATCATCAAGCCACATGTCTTTAATCCGACCGCACACGTGCCTTGCATCCGACCGTACACGTGTCTTCCATCTAGCCGTACACGTAATATTTTCTTTTTCTCATCTAACCGTACACTTGTCACTTTTATGTCCTTTCATCATTTATGGCATTAAAATAGGGAGAAAATAAATGGAAATTCGTGCAAAAATATCTCCTTAATTATTTCTCCACCTATCAAGCCAATCTTGCACCATATCAGATACTTTTCGGGTCCTGACTTACCCTGTACCACCAGGACATGTTCTGACACTATTTTCTCATCTTAATTAAGTACATATATGGTGTCACCTTAGAGGAGCATAGATAAAAATAATTAGCTCTACTGACAGGCTACTTAACCTTACTGAGTCATGCAGTAGAGATTTCGCTATAATGGGTAGACAAAAGATTGTCTAAAATATTCCCATACTGCGTTCTGATTTTTATGCTGTCCATAAATATCTTCTGGTGACTCAGCATGATGACTCGTCGGTGTCATGATTATGCTTGATGACTCAGCATGATGACTCATCGGTGTCATAATTACGCTTGATGACTCAGCATGCTGACTCAGCATCGTCATGATGGCTTTTAGATATTTTCTTTGGTTTTGTCCCCTATTTAGGGGACAAAATTATTTAATATTTGACTGGAGCATTTTATTCAATCCAGAGCTCCAAAAATTCATCCAAAAATATCATAAAATTCCTCATATTCTAGAGAAAATCTGTGAATTTTCTCAGGTCATAACTCAACCTGTAGCCCCACTTAAAAATCATTCTTTAAA